ACGACACCCGGGGCCCGAGCCCCGGGTGTCGTATCTGGCAGTCGGTGGGTCCCGCGAGGGGTCGCCCGCCCAGCGCGGGCGGCGCCACCAGGGAGCTGTCAGAAATGGCCCGCACCAGGACCGCACCCCGGACCTACCCACTCCGAAACTCGGGGCGGCGCGTCCATCTGTCGGGTGGCCCACCAGGGGTCCCTGTGGCTTGCAGAGTTTGGGAACCACTGTTAGGAGCGCTCCTCGGAGGCTGCAGAAGCAGTGGAGCCCTTTGGGTGAAGGTTAAAGGCAGCAAGGCCCCTTTTAAAGTTCATGCTCCTTAAAGGTACAGTCACCTTTCTCTTTCGGAGACGCTTTGGTTAAAAAGATAGAGATGTGTGAAATAATCACCCCAGGGAGCAGGGGCAGGACTCCTCAGCACCCCAGGTGACCACTTTATTAAGGACTTGGTGAATGATGAGCACATTTGCCAAACCTTGTATTTCTTTACGTAGAAAACCGAGAGGATATACTGAATGCCAGCGACAAACTAACTGAGGTCCTTGAAGAGGCCAACACTCTGTTTAATGGAGGTAATTCATTATTTTATATATGGGAGCTTTTTATTGTAAGTTTTAGGATAATTTTTTATTAGTTTTATATAAGAGCCATATTATTGACATCAAACAATTCCCACATAATATAGTAGTGTTTTCTTTACTAGTTTTGGAAGCTTTCTCGTTGGAGTGGTTATACTGCTTGTGTTGTGCTTACCATTCCCTAAGGTGTATTGAAGGCTTTATGTGAAATTCTGGGGGTGCAGCCAGCAGCCTGTTTTAGCAAGCCCCCCAGGTGGTTCTGTTGCTCCTTCAAGGTTGAGAACTTGTAGTATACTTGCATGAATTTATCTTTCTGTGGTATTGACTGCTGTATCCCCAGGGTGCGTTTGTTGAATGGATGAATTAAAGGAGAACTGAGCTGGGCTGTGACATCCTATTTCTAGTCCTGCCCTCCTCCCAGCTCCTTGCTATTGGTCCGCCTATGGTGGGGGGCAGGGGTGTAGTGGCCTTGTCCACTAGTGGAGCTGTTGGTCTCTAGTAGGGGGGTGGTGAGAGAGAGATAAAGAGATATGTCAGAGCACTGAGCACCCTCCACGGGGAGAGGGGAGTTTAAAAAACAATCATGGTTTGGGGCACCTGGGTGGCTCAGTCGGTTAAGCATCCGACCCTTGATTTTGGCTCAGGTCATGGTCTCACAGTTCGGTGAGTTCGAGCCCCATGTAGGACTCCTCACTGGCAGCATGGAGCCTGCTTGGGATTCTCTCTCTGCCCCTCCCCGATGGGCGTGCATGTGCGCATGCTCTCTCTCTCTCTCTCTCTCTCTCTCTCTGAAAATGAAAAAAAAAAAAATCTTGGTTTGAATTAAAAGGGTTTGTGGCAGCAGTAGTCTGTTCAAAGACAGAAGGCAGGTCGGGCACCCCCTGATGTAGGCACTGGGGCCCCGAACCCTAGAGCAAGTCCCCAGACCACTTTCCCCACCGTCCTCCTAACAGTTCTGTGGCAGCAGAATGGCAGAATGCAGACAAATTCGGTGGTAAGGAAGAGTCAACAACTTGTGCTGCCCAGACAATTCTTCATGTTCTTTGAGGACCAGACCCTTTCTTTCTAGTAATTTCCCAGTCCGACTAATGGCTTAACTGTTGCTCACTTTTAACATTGCCACGTCTGCATGTTCTCAAATGAGTGTCTTTCTAGCCCTGGTCACAGCCTCTGCACTGTTCCCCATCTTGGTGTCCCACATTTGCTAAATCTCGTTAAAACCTTCCAGAACTGAGCGTTTCCCTTTCACCTGGTTAAATCCCTCCTCACCCCTTGTTAGCACTGTCTGTGACTCATTCACCCCTTTGTACTTTACTATGCATCTTATTAGTTCTTGGGCCACACATCACTCCCTCCTCGGCTAATGCCCCTGTGCTGACTGGGTCACCTCTTTAAGGCAAAATTACTTGCTTGCTCAGCAAACACAGAATTCTAGATCCTTGGCACTCATGGTTTTCCCTCGGTGGGAGCCTCAAAGCCAGCTGTGACCGAGAAGTCTGTGCTTTTCTCGCCGACCGTGCTGTGAGGCCAGCAGGCAAGGCACCCGGAGCAGCCTGGCCTCTGCTTCCCTCTCTTACGCATGGTCGCTCCGCAGCAGCACCCCCGAAATAAAAAGGGAGAAGAATGATGTATAAAAGCAAAAACGGGAGTCAGCCAAGTTCAGCCGCTGGAGGTGTGTGTTCAGTAAGCCTGACACCCACAAGGCCTCCGGGAGCACACCAGGCACAGGTGTTTCTGTACTTGAACTTTGCCGCCTTCGCCTCTTCTTGGCTCCCTTTCCGGTTTGCCTTTCCAGGTGTTCCCAGGGCCCTCTTCACCCTCCCAGTCCCGCCAGCCCCGCCGTCTCCTCCAAAGGGCCGGTCCCTCGCCTCTGCACACTTCGTCGTCCTGTTCCCTTCTTGACTCCTGTTTAAATCTTTTTCTCGGTATAGCTTGTCTTAAATCCCGGGTCCTCTGTCAAACGCCTTCGGGCCCTCCATCCTCAGGGTCGCCGCCCTGCTGCGTGGCCTCTGTCCACGTGGTGGCCCGGGCTGGCACCCGGGGCGTGAGTCTTAGGCTGACTGCCCAGACGGTGCCATTATTTCTGTTGATGTCCCCTGACGGTTTGTGGTGGCCGCTCAACAAGCCACCAGGCCTTACACGGAGCAGGCCTTCCTTTTGACTTACCTCCGCTCGCGTCGAGGAGGGACGCCGAGGTGGGGCTGCTGGCGTTGGGGGTGGGGGGGGGAGAAGCTGGGTGTTAAGGGAGGAGACAGGCTTTGTTGAACCCAAGCTATAAAGAGATGGTAGTTCAGTTCACAGGAGGAGAAGGACCCTGGAGGGAGAGGGGCTTTTAGGAGGGCTGGTCAGCTTTTTTTTTTTTTTAATGTGTATTTATTTTTGAGAGAGAGAGAGAAAGAGACAGAGCATGAGTGGGAGAGGGGCAGAGAGAGAGAGGAAGACACAGAATCTGAAGCAGGCTCCAGGCTCTGAACTGTCTGCACAGAGCCCGGAGGACTGGTCAGCTTTGACTCCAGATTTTGGTGGGTTGGGCACGAGAGCCAGGTTTTAGAGGGAGATGGGTATGTTTCCTTTTTTTTTTTTTTTTTTTTTTTTTGGTTGGTCCAGTGGGAAATGGCAAGTAAGTAGGTGGAAATTTCGGGAAAATCCCTGTGAATCATGTGTATTTTCCTTCTCTTTTTGAACAGTGTCCCGGGCAAGAGAAGCAGTCCTGGATGCCCATTTTCTTGTTTTGGCTTCAGATTTGGGCAAAGAGAAGGCAAAGCAGCTGCGTTCTGATCTGAACTCGTTCGATATGTTGCGCTACGTTGAAACTCTAGTAAGTTCAAAGCTGTGGAATCTTAAACAAAAAATGTGTCCCAGGTCACAGATTAATTATCTGCTTTGATTAGATCTGTATGCCAATGGCTTTCACTTCCTTTTTCCTTTTCTTGGGGGGGTGGTGGGGCACAAGTCTCAGATTCCCCCAAAGAGATCTCATCTCACCAAGTTAAACGATGACAGGATAGCCATGTCGAGGAATACAGGGCGACAGCCTAGAGGTTTCGAAATCTCTTAGCATTCGAAGTAAAGATTCTGGGTGCTATGTTTATTTACAAATGGCCATTTTTTCCCCTGAACTATCAGTTCATAAGTATTCTAGCTAAAAAAAAAAAAAAGTATTCTAGCTCATTCTCAGTGACTGGGGACCCTTTGTCCTGGCTGGACAAAACCCACGCAGCAGGTGGCAGAGCTCAGCTGGAGATGAGTTAGGCCTGGGGGCAAGTTCTCCTCTGTCTTTTTTTTTTTTTTTTTTTAACATTTATGTATTATTGAGAGACAGAGACAGAGCAAGAGCAGGGGAGGGACAGAGAGAGGAGGAGACACAGAATCCGAAGCAGGCTCCAGGCTCTGAGCAGTCAGCACAGAGCCCGATGCGGGGCTCGAACCCACGAGCCATGAGATCATGACCTGAGCTGAAGTCGGACGCTTAACCGACTGAGCCACCCAGGTGCCCCTCTCCTCTGTCTTTGAGAATAAATGGGAACCACATGAATATGCTTAGGGTTTTGCTATTTTGTGGGTCTTTTTGTGGTTGTTTTATTTACCTTTCTTTTGGATGGTTGTTACCCAAAATTAAAAAATTTTTCCTTGGTGGATTTACCAAAAAAGGCACAATGGAGCTGACCGTGCATTTTACCCTGTTGTTGATTTTTTTTTTCTTTTTTTTTGGTTCTACTCTGAGCGAAGCTCTGTCCTAGCATTTCTGCTAGACCTTTGAATTTCTGACTGAATGTTTGTCAAATGGCTATTAAAATGATTTAGTACTGTGAGATCGGACCAGATACATTCATTCTTTTGTAAAGGCAGGGGGCAGATGAGTTTTCTGTTGTTTTTAAAACCTTAAATGGTTTAAAACTGAAATTTAACTTACATTGAAAACCGTAAAATCTTCTTTTTTAACTTTTTTATTGTGAGGCATAATGCATTTGGAAAATGCACACTAACATACAGCTGAACAAATAAAATGACCATATATACTGGGTTGTCTTTTTTAAAATTACTGGTATTTATCCAAGTGAGCTGTGTACTTGAACAAATCAAAATAAATTCCGGAAGTCTTTAAGGCATTCAGAGTAAAACCCTAAATTAATAGCTCTGTGATGGCTGGGTGGGGAAGATCCTTCTGAGTACATTAAATATAGGTTCTATAAAAAAAAGACTGGTAGACTGGACCAGACAGAAACGGACCCGTCCTCCCACGTGTGCGGGGGGAGACAAGGTGGCAGAGGGCGGGGGTGATGGATGCCGACCTTATGTCCCTGATCTGGTTCTTGCAGCCTTTTTCTTTACAACTTGATTGCCTTTAATAGGGGTCAGCTCCTTGAGAGCATTGTGATTGTTTATATTTGATATTACTGTTTTAATTTGATAACTTGGAGGCATTTTATAATTCTATAATGTAATCAAAGCGCTTTCATTTTCTGTAAGATAGTTGGGGATGAGAGAATTACTAAACTTCTGGCAACTCTTCGCAGGAAGGCAGTTTTAGGATGAATGATTCTCTGACGCTAGGCCACTGCTCTCTGGATATACTGAGGCGCAAGCTGAGTAGTGGTCTCTAGGAGGTTGGCTAAAATGAAAATCCGAAAGCCAGCTAAACCTGGCCTGTTCTGTGCTGGAGGCTTTGATTTGGGATGTGATTTCAGATTCGTATGCCGGAACTGCTTTCCTAATACTTTGATGGACTAAGTTCATTCATTCTCGTGTTTCTGCCTTTGAAAGTTGGAATTTATGTATGAAATTACCTGTATCGAAAGAAATTTAGCCAGCGTGTTAGGGCCTTGAAAACAGGCTTTGCCTCTGGCCTCTTAAAGTTTACTGATGCAGATTATTTGATGTGGTGAATGATTGCTTGTGGCTTAACTGGGGTTTTTTGTTTCCCTTCATTTTTGTAGCTGACACATATGGGTGTAAATCCGCTAGAAGCTGAAGAACTCATCCGTGATGAAGATAGTTCTGATTTTGAATTCATAGTCTATGACTCCTGGAAAATATCAGGCAAAACAGCAGAAAACACCTTTAATAAAACCCATACATTCCACTTTCTGTAAGATTATTTTAAAAATCTGACAGACCAGTCATTTGTAAACCTTAAGTTGTTTTTTCGTTGTAGGAACAAACATTATTTGGTATTGTGGAGGTGACAGTCATGATGCCATTGTTTGGAGACTTTGTAAACTTTGATTGAAAAGCCCATACAATCTCGATGTGGATGGATCCTCATCCTGCTTAATTTAAGCAGGGAAGGCTGTGGGCCAGGACCTCTTACTAGGTGCCCTGCCGGCTCCTTTGTTTCCTAGTATGTGCGACTTCCGGTCTGGGGCAAAACGTCTGGCTTTGTTTTGTCACCTTTAATCCTTACCATGTAGGAGGACGATACCTCTTATGGAGAGTATCTTCAGATCCTACCAATGTATGTAAAGTGCCACTTACTGTAATTTCCTGTCGGACGATCAACTGACCTATACTTGAAGCCTGCTTGAGTCACGGTCACATAAGTGCCTGGTTGATTTTTTGGATACAGGTCTAGTTTTGAAAAGTTTTTTTTTGTTTTTTTTTTTATACTCACATTAGCTTCCGTCTTCATTTCCTAGTTCAGTCCTTTTGGAGAAACTAAGAATGGTGCTCACTGGTTCTTCTCTAAGACCATCTTCAAATGCCCTGGCTGTGTCCCCCAGCAGATTCTTTCTGCTGTTGTTTCTTCTTAAGTGCTATATAGCTCCTGGGCGGTTTGTCTGTTCTGATTTACCCTTGCAAACCTCCCGAGAGTGGTAGCGCCTCAGTTAGAAGGCTCTGGAGATGCACAGGTGTGGGGCGAGGCCTAGGTTTTTAAAAAGCCTTCAGTTAGCACAGGCAGTTAGCACTGCCTCCATTACAGCATAAAGGTCACACTTCTTCGTTACAGGATAAAGTCCAAATCTCTGTTTTTTGCTGTTGAGTTCTTGGCTCTGTCCTAAATCCCAAGATCTAAAGGGAGCCTTTGGTGCTATGCCTTAAACTTTGTCTCCTCATCCTGCCGAAGTTGCACCCACAGTGAAGTGCTTACAGCTGTGTGCCCTTGCACTTGCTGTGTCTTTGGCCTACAATGTCTTCCCCCATCTTTTCCACCTGGGAATGTTTGCTTATGTCCCAGACCCTAACTTGGAAGCCTCCAGTAACTTCTCCGGACAGATAGAAGGCAAGATCAGAGATCGCAACCAGATCACTCCCACGTCTGGGTAGACCTCGCCCCACATGCGCTCCCAGCACCACAGTATTATTCTAGTATGATGCTGTGGGATCCACCCCATTGCGCTGAAATGGACACGTGTGTGTGGATTTGGATCTGTCCATCTACACTGCACCCTTTGATCTCCTCAGGCGGAGGGACCACACGGGTCTATGTTTTCGGGACTGTGATCGCTGCGTGGTACATCTATTGTTGTAGCTTAAGTCTGCATTTGGGCCTCTTTTAGGGGGTACGGGGAGTCCAGAGGGGATAAGAATCCCATGGCTTCTGTTTGAACTGTTCTCCCGAGACAGGTATGTTCCGTAGTCCGAGGCTGTGAGCCTCGGCACTGGCACCCCTAGTCCAAAGGCTTTTAACCCCCAGGGGAGCTGTTTTTTCCTCTTCCCCACATGTTCTTCTTCCCTGATCTGAAGTTGGCTTTGCCAAGAACACAGTAGGCTAGCTGGGAAGACCACAGGCATGTTGACCGGTGTGCTGTTGAAAGCAAAATATGAAGGTGTTTGAGGAGGTATCTGTAATTGAGAGAAGCTCCTAGGAGTTCTTTGAGAAACACAGAGGGAGCAGAAAGGATGTCACAGACCCGACCAGAGTTTCGGTCTGATGTCAGCTCATACAGCACTGAAGCCTGGTCTGAATCTGACCATTCCGTGGGAGCTGCTTCCAGTTAGTGGAATTGGTTTAGAAAACAAACAAAAAAGGACATGAAAGCATATTTTTCATTAGGTTGGGTTCAATACAAGGAGAGTTCCCTGTGCCAAAGCCACGAAGCGATCGTCCGAGAAAAGGTCCCACGACAGAAGAGAAGAAGACCATGCCTGACCAGGTTTGTCTTCTGAAAATGCCTACGGTTAAAGTAGCTGTTAATATAATATACATGCAATTTGGCCATCTTTTCTAAGCTTTAGGGTCTGGAGTCAGGTTTGGTTACTTAAATAATCACTTAAATAATTTAAGCTTTTAAACGTTTTACCGGGTTAACCCTTGTCTTAGTTTTAATTCCTTTCTGTAGTGGATCAGGGGCTCTCAGCCTCAGCACAGTCAGCCCTGGGGGCAGGAACATTGTCCGTCATGATTGGCTGTCCTGTGCGATGCAGGAGGCCCCATAGCAATCTTTGGCCTCTTTCCACTAGATGCCAGTAGCCGCCTCCTCCCCCATCCCCAGTTGTGACAACCAAAAACATCTCCAGGTATTGGCACATGTCCCCAAGAGGCAAAAATCACTCCCAGTTGAGAACCATGGTTCTGAACCACTTTTTGTGTTGTGCTATTTTATTTATGTTCAACCTGAACATGGTCGATTTGGTCATGTTAACTCCTCTGTTAAAAAATTAATAGAAAAATGTTAACTGAAAGAAAGTTTTTTTTTTTTTAACTGTAAATTTGAAGATGGGGGTCAAAACTGGTAGTGATCCCTAATAAAAGACATTTAGACGAATATGGGCGCGGAAGAGGGCAGAAAACGCAAACAGTCTGGTAACGACTTTGTGTTTTCAGTTAAGTGAAATGGAAGAATCTCATCAAGAAGCAACAGAAAAGGAAGTGGAAAGAATTTTGGGATTATTGCAGACCTATTTCCGAGAGGATCGTAAGTATGATACCAAGTTCAAGTAGAGCGATTTGTATTTATCAGTTAGACACATGTCCCTTTCGATGAGAAGTTAGTTTTTAAAACGCATTTTTGGTTCTGTACAATGTTTGAATCATTTTGATTGCTTTTCGGCCTATATATGTAACGCAGCTTCTCTCCTTTAGATATCCCATGTGAGGTTGTTGGCAAAGTAACTTTTCATTTTTGTTTTTAAAAGATGGGGTATATTTTCTGTTACAAAACAAAAGGTGCCATAGAAGTGAGAGCGGTAGAGTCAAGTACCTGTTCCATTTCTCGCTCCCTAGAGGCAGCCCCTTGTATGGCGTGCCTTGCGTGCTCAGATCGTCTTAGCTTTGTGTCAGTTACGTAACTATGCACATAAGTAAGTTGGGCATCTTTGCTGGTTTTGCTTTTTTCAAAGCTAATCCTAATATACACGTTCTTCCGCAACCTGAGTTTTCCACGTCGACATTCTTCTACGTCGATACGGGTAGATCGCCCTTCTCTCCAGTGATTCCCGTTGTAGGGCTGTGTCATAAATACATTGAACAAGTCCCCCGTGAGCGGACGAGTGGAAGTTCTTTGTAGCATCTTACTCTCGTGAAAGCCGGTGTAGCAGAGAATCCTGGCACACAGCTTTGCACGCACCTGCCGACATTTGTGTAGGAGGAGGGTTGCCAGATCAGTGGGCGTATGTATTTTATAATAGGCCAAATTGGCCTCCAGAAGGGCCGTATCCCTTTATACTCCCAACAGCAGGTTGAGGGCCCATTTCCTTCCTCTGTGCACACAAGAGAATATTGGTCTTACTGATAGCAAAATGCATCTTTCCCGTTTTGAAGAATTTTTTTTTTTCTTTTTCGTCTACAGCTGATACTCCTATGTCCTTCTTTGACTTTGTGGTTGATCCACATTCTTTTCCCCGAACAGTGGAAAACATCTTTCATGTTTCCTTTATTATAAGGGTAAGATTTAAGATTATTTCTCTTTTTTTATCTTTTACAGCTTTTAAGAGGGTACATAGTAAAAGCTATGGGTGGGAGCTGGCAGAGGTGTTTGTACTAACTAGTATGTATGTATGTATTTGCGTTGTAGCAAAACATTGGCACACAGGCAGAAGAAACTAGCTGAAAATTTGTGCGCAAAGGGCGCCTGGCCGGCTCCGTCGATGGAGCATATGACTCTTGATCTCAGGGTCATGAGTTCGAGCCCCACGTTGGGTGTAGAGATTATTCAACATAATAAGTAATCTTAAAAAAAGAAGTTGTGAGCTTGCTTTTACATTTTGGAAATTATTTATAAAAAGGATTCGCAGAGTTTGAGTATGGAACTATAAATTAGAGAACAGTGTGGTATAAATGTTCAATTTCCCAAATTTAAATTGCCCACATCTGATAGTTGCCATGTTAGGTAAGAAAAGATCTTGTTCTCAAGAATCCTATACTGAAAGTACTAAGGAAAGGGAGCAGGCTATCATTTATTATCTCATAAAAATTACTAATACGGGAGGGGTGCATGGGTGGCCCAGCCTGTTAAGCATAGGACTCTCAGTTTTGGCTCAAGTCATGACCTCCTGGTTTTGTGAGTTCAGGCCCTATATCGGCCTCTGTGTTGGCAGCACAGAGCCTGCTTGGAATTGTCTCTCTCTCTCTCTCTCTCTCTCTCTCTCTCTCTCTCTCTCTCTCTCTGCCCCTCTCCCAGTTGCACTGTCTCTGTCTCAAAAATAAAGAAATAAACTTAAAAAAATTTGGGGTGCCTGGGTAGCTCAGTTGGTTAAGCGTCTGACTTCAGCTCAGGTCATGATCTCATGGTTTGTGGGTTCAAGCCCCTCATTGGGCTCTGTGCTCACAGCTCAGAGCCTGGAGCCTGCTTCGGATTCTGTGTCTCCCTCTCTTTCTGCCACTCCCCCACTCATGTGCACGGTCTCTCTCTCTCTCTCTCTCTCTCTCTCTCAAAAGTAAATAAACATTAAAAAAAATTTTTTTTAAAAATTACTGGTACAGTGGTGTCTGGGTGGGTCAGTCAGTTAAGTGTCCCAACTTCAGCTCAGGTTATGATCTCAAGGTTCGTGGGTTCTGCATCAGGCTCTGTGTTTACAGTGTGTAGCCTGCTTGGGATTCTCTCTCTCTCTCTCTCTCTCTCTGGCCCTCTCCCACTTGCTGTCTCTTTTCCAACATAAATAAACTTAAAAAACAATTACAAATGAATATGTAGAGAGAGTGAAATGATGTGGCAAAACTTTAACAGTGAAGTTTGGTGAAAAAAACTTGGTGAAAAACTTCGTGAAGCTCGGTAAAGAATATAGGAAGGGAGGGGTGCCTGGGTGGCTCAGTTGGTTAAGCATCCACTCTTGATCTCCATTCAGGTCATAATCTCACGGTTTGTGGATTTGAGCCCCACATCAGGCTCTGTGCTAACTGTGGAACCTGCTTGGGATTCTCTCTTTCTGCCATTCCCGTCACATATGTGGGCACACGCTCGCTCTCTCTCAAAATAAATAAACTTAAAAAATACATACACTATAAAGGTTCTTTATAGTAGCCTTGTAGCTCTTTCAGTTTGAAATTATTTCAAACTAGAAGGTTCAAAAAAAACCCTACTCAAAAATATACTGAAATATAAGAAAAGAAGTATACTTTAGACCTATCTTTAGTCTTGTAACAGGTTGCACTGCTGCATATGTAAGATGAATTTGATTTTAACCTTAAACAAAAATCTTGTATTGACCAGAGTATCTTCCCAGAGATGATAACAAAGGCATATTTTGTCAACGGTAGATGATGAGCTAACACCTGATAAAATATGGAGTGTTCAAAAATACGCATGAATCAGTTAAAGAGATAAGCCAGTTTCGGTTTTATTTAGCAGATCCTCAGGATAGAGGCTGATCAGAAACCCGAGGGAAGCCCCATGTATCTTGTCTACGTAATCTCATTATTGTTATGGTACATTTTGAGTGTCTGGGATATGGAGCTTTCTAATTAAGGAATAATGCTTTTCATCCAGTGGTTACAGGTTTTGGATCTAATTTTTTAAATCGGTTTTTGAATCCAAATCTAAAATCATGTTTGTGTTTTAGGATGGTTTTGCAAGAATAAAGCTTGACCAAGACCGACTGCCAATAATAGGTAAAGGATACTACGTTAAGATTAGTTTTTGAGAAAACGTATGTGTTATTAGAGTTCATGAAATGCAGCTTTCTAAATGTAAATGAGTTTGCATTTTAGGTATCAAACTTTTACGTTGCTGTATCTTTACTGAAAATATCGCCATCATTTAAAGCCAGAGGGTTCATCTGTATCGTTGACTCAATTAGAATTAGATTTGAATTAGAACTTAACTGCCTTAAAGATTGACAAGAAAGTCCCTCCAGTTTTTATCTAGAATGTTGGTAATTGCAGTTACTATTGTACTTTCCTTCCTTCTATGTTTCCCTGAAGCCACCTCCCTCCTCTCCTTGGGAGAATCTTTCTCAAATAATTTCACCGGGCTCCATGAGTCCTTTGTTTCCTAAGGTCTCCTGCAGAGAATCAAGTACATCCATTGCCTTTATTGTTACTTTAAAAGCTCTTAATTTCTCTCGGACTCACTGGGGCTCAGCTCTGTGGTTAGTACTTAGATCTGCAGAGGTTGTTAAATGATTGCAACGTGTCACTCCATCTTGTGGGGTTTTTTAAAAATGGAAGCAAATGGATTACTTGCTACAACACTATAACAAGTCAACGATGCGTGGGATCCTAATAAGTATGTAATATTATAAGTGTCTTTTCGATACAGGCTTCGTTCCTGTTCAACAGTTTACGTTCAGCCTACCTCCTGTGATTCGATAACCTTTGAAAACTTGTCTTTCCAACAGAGCCCGTTAATATTAATGAAGAAAGTGAGGGAATTGACCAAAACACCCAGATTAGGAATCAAGGAATCATAGCTTTGAGTTACCGAGACTGGGAGGTAAAGCCTTGCCCCTTGCCCCTTTCCCCGGGGTAGTCCTGTCTCCCAAACGGCATTTGCCGTTAACCCAGTGCCCAAAATGTTCTCTGTTCTCCACCAGGAGATCGTGAAGACCTTTGAGATCTCAGAACCTGTGATTGCTTCAGGCCAGAGCCAGCAGAGGCTAAGCGCCTGACGCCAGCAAAGGTAACATTTCCTATGTTATGAAACGTTACTTAGCATTCCAAACCACCTTCCTTTTTCGCATTCTGGTGAAATTGGGATTTGCCTCCCTCTAGTGCCCCAGTCCTAGAACTGTGCGTGCTGATGGGAAAGGCAGCGCGCCACCTAGTGGCTGCAAGTCCCCTTCTTTGGATTACTTCGGGGTTCTGAAGGGGCGGAGCAGGAGTGTGTTCCTGGCTTGGCTCCTCCTACCCCCCCCCTCCCCGCCCACCCCAACAAGTTGATAAACTAGATAAATTGAATACTGAACCCTCCCATCAGTCGTGTTCAGTGTCCGATTTGATTTGGTTATTTTATAGCTACGAAGTAGAAAGGGAGGATTAGGACAGATTTACCTTGGAATGATGTCAGTAAATGGGCGTTTCTTAAATTCGAGTTATGCTGTGAAACACTTCTTCAATTTTTATGAAGGAGAACATGCTAGAAGGAAATCTTAGTGACGATCGGGCATTTGCTGTGGGTGGGAGTCAGGAGACCTGGATTCTGTTGGCTCTGCCCCTGTCTTTAAAATCACGGAGGGGGCACCTGGATGGCTCAGTCGGTTAAACGTCCGACTTCGGCTCAGGTCATGATCTCACAATTCGTGAGTTCAAGCCCCCGAGTCGGGCTCTGTGCTGACAGCTCAGAGCCTGAAGCCGGCTTCGGATTGGATTCTGTGTCTTCTCTCTCTGTTCCTCCTCTGCTCACACTTTGTCTCTCTCTCAAAAATAAATAAACATTAAAATCACTGAGATGACTTCATCTCACTCAGCTTCATTTTGTCTATAAATCCAATCTGTAAAATGGGGGGGGGAGATTTTGAATTAGAACATTGTTAAGGTTTTATTTTTCTAACTCAAATTTTCTGTAATTTTGAGAGTTAAAATGAACTTTGAATACTTAATCTGCTTTGGTTCCAAGATAACTGAGGGAAAGAGAGCAGATGTAAGATATATAATGTGGGTGGACCGGGGCCCTCCTCACTGAGAAAGCACTGGTTGTCGGAGTCTATTTATGTATATCTAGTAAACTTCGGATTCATGTTATTTATAAACTGTTAACCAGCTATTTTTTTCCTCTTTCTTAGGACTCAACTGGATAGTGAAATCCAAACAGGAAAGCAGCATGTATTGTATATATTGTATGATTAAACATTTTTAAAGACAGATTGTTTTTAGTAAAATGTAGCTTTTGATAGTTAATGAATTGGTCCTGGTTGTCTTTGATTAAAGGAAATTCACTGCCATATTCACAAATATTTGTAGTTACTCTTTATTTTCTGATTATGCCAGAGTTTGGCCTTTCTCTAGTCCTGTTCCACTGAAACCTTTTTAGTTAGGATGTCAATGGCTTACAGATCATTATGGTTCTTTTTATATCTCTTTAGCTAAATGTAAAGTTAGCTGGTGAAGTCAACCAATATTGGATTGAACTGTATGAAATTGTTTGTGTAGGTGAAACATGGTCAAATATCAGCCATTTTCTATGATTCAGCCTGTGATTTACACACAAGAAACTATTCAGTCCTCTGCCAGGCCAGCCTGAACGACCATCCCCACAGCTCCCATCAGCGGTCCCCTGTGTGCACACAGAGGACAACCAGACAGGCGCGACTCCCAAGCTTCTGATCTTGGCTGGGCCTTCAGGCCTGTTCTTGATGTTTTTTAGCCCCTTGTTGGTTCCCTTTCCCGTTCCACAGCTTGCTACATCCCCCCTCTCTCCCTCCTCCCATCTGGTGTCCGAGTCAAGCGTCCGAGTGTCGCTTCTCTGGCAGGCTCTGGGTCCCAGCCCTTCCTGGTCCTCGGGCTTGTCAGCCACTCTCCATACCGAGCACTTTCCCTTCAACCATGCCTGTTTATCTCTCACCTTAAAACCACTACCAGAACCCTCAGTTACTGTCCTGTCTCCTCTTTGAACAAGAATCTCTTCTACTCTCCCCTCCTGGCCGTCCTGGATCCGCGTGGAGTGGCACCCCCTTTCTCAGCATCCTCTAGGGGCTATTTTAGACCAAACTGGTGATTCCTACCCAAATAGATCCCCGGGTTAAATGCTGTGCATTTGGCACTTAAAATTCTGTTGCTTCCCCTGCTTCCCCTCCCCCCCTCTTACTCTCATGAATTAATCCTAAACATTCTTCCGACTTTGACTCAACTCCGAAAAGCTACAGATGTATGTGCAATGGCTTATTGCCAGCATAGGGGCTGTTTTAAACATAGGTATAAAACAGCTCCCAAGTCTGTCTTCCCTGTAATCCCTGTGCCGGTCCCTCTACTCCTTTATTTCCTCAAAAGAAACCCAGGATTTCTCTTCTCCTTCCCCTCTACCTTGATCGGTCACGACTCCCCATCTGGTGTCCTGATTCTCCATCCTGCCCAGGTTTCTGCCACAGAAGCCTCCCATCTGCTGTCCCTGCTTACTTCCTGCCCTTCACATCTCCTGCACATCTTCAGAACCGCTCGTCAGCCTCAGTGACTCCCCACCGCCTCTGACCCTTGAACAACCTGAGCTTTCAGAACCGTCCGAGGCCTCACATGATCTGGCTCCTCGCCTACACCCTGGCTCACCTCCCGCTCCAGACTCCAGCTCTCTCTTCCGTTTCATTGAACGGCTTTGCAGAGGTTTACTTCATACTCTTTGTCATTCACCCATTCCTGGCAAACAACTCATCAGTCTCTTCGCAGGGCTCTGTAACCATCACCACGGTCTGATGTAGAACATTCTCGCCCCCAACCCCATACCCGGTGGCCATCACCCTTCCTCGCCCACCTCCTCACCCCTGAGCCCCAACCGATAGCCTATTTTCTGTCAAAATTTGCCTATTCTGGCCATTTCACATAAATGGAATCACATACGTGGTCTTAACATTACAATCTTTCAAGCACACATGTCTAGAGTTGCCTTCCTCTGTGGGTGATGGAGTTTTCAGAGCCTTGGAGTGGTAGATTAAAAGATGGTGGCAAATTTGAGAGGAAAATCTGTTTCCTCCCCCCTTGAATCTGGGCTGGTCTTGGTGATCTGTTGGAGCAACAGCAGACGGCAGAAGTGACGTTCCGGGACCTCGGAAGCTACATCAAAAGGAGCCTTGTGGTGTCTGACGAGTTACCAGAGTCGAGTCACCTGTAATAAGGCCAGCTACCCGGTGGCCAGAAACTACATGAACAAGGGAGGCCCGGACCGGGACCAGGCGAGCCCAGCCTTCCAGCCATCCTCAAGGGTGTGTCGCCTGTACCCTCCGGACTAGTCCAGCTGTCACCTGAGTATCCCCAAGCTGCTCTAGTGGGGATGTGTAGGGCAGGTCGCACTGGCGGGCTCTGCCTGAACTCCTGACACAGAATTACGAGCTAGTATAAGATGGTGGGGGTTGTAAGTCACAAATTTTGGGGGACAGTTCTACAGACAGCTGAAATGCTTGATCTACCCTCCCCGCCCCCAAAGTTTGATACACTTAGAAACAAGATTCAGGGGTATGTGATTTTATCGCACTGATTCTGAACGTATGCTCACCTGAAAAAGAAATATAACAATCCAGAAAATAACTTAAACTTTAATTTTTTCTAGCTGACTTCTCAAAAACGGTGGCATGCTCAAGAGCTCTCTGTGGAGCGGCTTCTTGACCTCCTCCTCCTTTTTGGCCTTTTCCGTGAGGATGGTCACTTCTAGGAGCGTTTCCTGGTAAGGCTGGGCGATCGGATAGGCTGTGACCCGCTCGAATTCCTTCACTTCCTCCCTGTGCACCGGAGGCCTGCGGAGAGGGGGAGCCGGGGCAGAGAGCCCCCGAGCTCGGCTTTCGCTTCTCTGCTCCATGAGCTGTCTCCCTCGAGTCATTCGGTCTTGATACCCCTTGATCTGTTCCTTGGCCCAGGACGCCCTGGGCTTTTTGGTCTTCATTTTGTGTGTTCTCTGGAGAGTGTCCGTCTTTTCATCCTTCCCTTGGGGAAGACCGTTAGGCTGCGCATCCTTTGAGAGAGGGGCTGACGCTTGCCTTCTCCGAGGCCTCTGGCCCGTTCGGCTCGGTATATATGTACCTCTCTATCTGGCCCAGCTCCCTCTCAGGCACTAAACAGTCCCATTTTTTAGCATCTCCTGTGTTTTCACTGTGCGGTCTCTCTCTATTTTCATTTCCCACCCCGGAACCATTTTGTATTTCCACGCCTCTCCCAGCACCATTTCTTGATGTGGTCGATAGTAATATGCCTCTGCTTTGGCAAACCGGAAGTCAAAAGACATGGCTTTGGGTGGATGAAGTGTTTCGTTCTCCTGTCGAAGCTTTTGGAGTAACAGTTTCCTCACTTGGGAAGAGTGGACGCCACCTAGGAAGCATTAGAAGTTTTTTAAGTCGGATGCCCTTTGTTACAGGCTCACAAGTGGCTAGCATTTCTGCCTGGCATTCCTGACACCGTGTCCCTGTCGGGGTCTCTTAGCTGTGTTCCCTGGCTTTCTCTCCAAACCTCCCACACACCCCTGCCCCCGAGCCCCCTCCCGGTTGAAGATTTCGCCTTAGACGACCTTGAGGAAACAGCAGCAGGCAGTCAGAAACACCTTCCTCTTCTTGTTGCGGGAACAACCACCGTGTGTCCATCCTGACTCTGCTTTCGTAATGGAAACATTGCCCCTTTGTCTATCAAAAGCCAAGTCTTCTGCATGCCCTTGTGAAGCTTCCAGAACTTCAGTTTGCAATCACCAAATTCCCTTCCCTGCTTCATCAAATGTTCCCCTGTACTGGATCACTCCGTCCGCATAAAAAAAGGTTCCAGTGTTGACATCATTTTTCGACAGAAAGGGAAGACTCTGCGACGCGTGCCACCTTGGCTCCCCTTCCTAGTGTGCCATGAAGCGGAAACCTATCACCCCTCTCCACTGCCCCACCCCACAGTTTGCCCTTGACGCTTTTCACTTGGGTTTCCATCCCTCCGCCCTTCCCAGACTGCTGTCGTCTAGCTCATGAGGGATCTCCACAGTGACAAATTCAGCGGCCTCGTCTCTGTCCTGGTCATCCGTGACTTCAGCAGCATTTCACAGAGTGGACCACTCTTTCCTCTTTGAAATACTTTACTTTTCTCTGGCTTCCCGGCTGTGGCCAAGGGCATGTGACCAAGGCTATCCTGGACCTGCTAGAGAATTCCAGCCATTAGCTGAATATCCCCAGGTGACTGAATAGCCCTTCATTCTCCTCCTACCTCATGGCCGTGCCTTCCACCGCTTTGCTGGCTCTGTCTTTTAGAGGTAATGCAAGAAAATATAAGAGAAATTGTCACTTAAGATGAGCATAGTCTCATCTAGGCTTTTTTGGATGTGGACAGTCTCAATCACTCAACAAGGTGACCTACCACGGGCCAGAGACTGCTCTAGGCGGGGGCAGTAAGGGATGAGCAAGACAGTCCCACACGATGCAGCCTTGCACTCGAATCTCCAGACCTAGATACTGTCTACTTAACACCTCCACTTGGCTCTAACTGCAAAGTGCTCCCTTCATTTTCCACCTTTCCAGTCCTGTCCCCGGTAGCTTCAGGATGCCCCCATCCTAGGGTGTTAGCCTGACTAGAGTTCCTGAATCCACACTCTCTCCCTCTGTCCCCAGCCCCATCAGACCACTCACACGGCAACCGGATTGATCTTTGTATCACACAAATCTCAGCACGTCACTTTCCTGCACAGAAACCTAGGATAGCGTCCTATCGATTTTAGGAGAAAATCCCATTCATAATCTGGCTCCTGACTCCCTCTTAGCTCGACTGCTTGCTTGCTCTGCTACATGTAGCCGTCCTGGCTTCTCTGTTCCTCAAACCCTATTCTCTTTGCCATCTGAGTATTTTCATATATTCTCTTATACTCCCAAACACACAATACAGCAGCTCTGACTATGGTACTTAATGTACGTAACGTTTAGGTTTTAGCTTAAATGTCACTTCCTCACTTTGCACGTAATTCCTTCAGATAAAATCCCATCTTTCATGACCCGTATCACAATCTGTGGCTATCTGTTTAATGTTGAGGTCCCTCACTTGCTGAGGCCCCTCAAGGGCCCAAGCGATGTTTGTTTTGTTCAGCACTGCGGGTACTGAATGAATCGAACCTAACAGACAAAGCACTCTTGCTTGCAACACTCAGGCCCTTTCTACCTTGAAGAAGAACTTTTTATGATGGTATTTCTGGCTCCAAAGTTCACGGTAAATGTACTTCCTCACCTTTATCTTCTTTTCTAGTGGGGACTGGGAACCCCCTGCAATCCGAGGGTCCTGAGTGTTTTGGGCC